AAGTTTATGAATATCCCCCCTTAGGTTAGAATATCCTTAATTGTAGATTTAATTTATTCCTCCCCCCCTAGCCTCCCCATCCTTCTCCCCCATCCTAAATAAAAACTTTTAACCCATTTTGGATATTTGATATTCTTATATAAATAATTATATACAGAGTCAAATTAAAATAAGAAAAAATGGAATATGAAAAAATATCTATTTTGAAAAAAGTGTGATATTTTTGTGGATAATTCATGGTTAGCTGAAAAAATGTTATTTTAAGAAAATCCAGCAGTTTCAAGATATTCTGAACTAAACCTTAAACGATAAATGCGAATGAACGTGTCGGACAGGTGTGCTGTAAATATTTCTTTTTAATCGAAAATTGAAAACTCGTGATTGATTTTTTATCCGTCAACTGCAAAGATATTCAGGGCATTAAATATTTAAATAAATGTAAAATGTGCTGCTAGTAATTCAGGCAATCATAATTCAAAATGCGTTTCCGGATTATTTTTATAAGAAAAAACAGCGGGGAACAGAGGGGCGTATGGGGCAGATGAGGATTATAAAAGAAGTAATATTTTTAGTTGCTGCTTTGTTTGGTTTTAATTCTTACTGAATTAAATAAAATTATATCATATAAAATACTATCCGTATATATTTTATAAAATATTAAAATTGTGTAAGTTTGTTTTGCATTTACTTAGATTTTAGTAGTTTTGACCTTTAAGGTTTTAAATATGCTATTCCTTAGTTAAAAATCAATTTAGAAGTCGCGGAATTCAGAAGTCAAACTCTTAGACGCTTTACAGATAACATCGTCTAATGCACATCAATCAATCATTCATCAGTACATTTTAAATACAATCCTACACCCTGCACACTCCCTTCTATCTTACACACATTCCCCTCCATCCTGTACATTCCCCTCCACCCTGTACATTCCCCTCCACCCTGTACATTCCCCTCCGCCCTGTACATTATTCTCCAACCTGTACATTTCTCTCCACTTTGTACATTCCCCTCCACTCTATACACTCCCCTCCACATTGTACATTCCCCTCCACCCTGTACATTCCCCTCCACTCTGTACACTCCCCTCCACATTGTACATTCCCCTCCACTCTATACACTCCCCTCCACATTGTACATTCCCCTCCACTCTGTACATTCCCCTCCACCCTGTACATTCCCCTCCACCCTGTACATTCCCCTCCACATTGTACATTCCCCTCCACTCTATACACTCCCCTCCACATTGTACATTCCCCTCCACACTGTACATTTCCCTCCACCCTGTACATTCTCCTCCACCCTGTACATTCCCCTCCACCCTGTACATTTCTCTCCACTCTGTACATTATCCTCCACCCTGTACATTCCCCACCACCCTGTACATTACCCTCCACCCTGTACACTGTACATTCCCCTCCACCCTGTACACTGTACATTCCCCTCCACCCTGTACATTATCCTCCATCCTGTACATTCCCCTCCACCCTGTACATTATTCTCCAACCTGTACATTTCCCTCCACCCTGTACATTATCCTCCACTCTGTACATTTCCCTCCACCCTGTACATTCCCCTTCACCCTGTACATTCCCCTTCACCCTGTACATTCCCCTCCACCCTGTACATTTCTCTCCACTCTGTACATTACCCTCCACCCTGTACACTGTACATTCCCCTCCACCCTGTACACTGTACATTCCCCTCCACCCTGTACATTATCCTCCATCCTGTACATTCCCCTCCACCCTGTACATTATTCTCCAACCTGTACATTTCCCTCCACCCTGTACATTATCCTCCACTCTGTACATTTCCCTCCACCCTGTACATTCCCCTCCACCCTGTACATTCCCATCCGCCCTGTACATTATTCTCTAACCTGTACATTTCCCTCCACCCTGTACATTATCATCCACCCTGTATATTTCCCTCCACCCTGTACATTATCCTCCACCCTGTACATTCCCCTTTACCCTGTACATTCCTCACTACCCTGTGCTGTGTACACTCCTGTCCAACTTTTCTTAATTTGCCTATTTTAAATTTCAGTATAAATTGTTTGAAAATTAGAAAATAATTGTTTTTCGTTTTCTAAGACAGATTTATTATCATTTTCCGGTCAAGAAGCATCAATCTAGAAAAACCTTCGGGTGTGGAGTTAAACTCTGTTTATTTATTGTTTTAGTATCTCTTCATAGACGGATTTCATGGATAGTTCCGGATTTATGGATAATTGAATATCCATTTATTCAAAAACTAAGATTTAGTATAAATCTGATTCATGTGTATTTCTGATCTTCTACTTCTCTTGGTGCAAAAGTTTTATCATAGGTATAATCGTTCTTGAGGTTTGTGTATTTTCTTGAGGACGAGAGAGTTGTACGATTTCCTTGACACTCCGGGGTTTCTAGAATCTTCATCTTTTCCACTTGGGTTTCTTTGTTAAATCATATCTTTGAGTTTGTAGGCTTTCCAGGTTTTTATGAATGCAAGTTTTCTAGGTTCTCCAGATTGTCTAGGAAACTACACCGTCAAGTTTATTAGGCTCTTTAGGTTTTCTAGATCCCTTCTTTTCAGGTTTTCATGCTCTCCACTAGGTTTTCTAGGTCCTCCAGGTTTTTTAGTTTCTAGGTCACTACAAAGTTTTCTAGGTTTTCTGGGGGTTCTAAATCCCCATATCATTGAGGTTCTTGTTAACTTCAAAGTGTTCTGGGTTTTCAAGGCCATCTATGGTATATCCATAAATGGCAAGGTTCTCTAGGTTTTTCTAGGTGATTAGAAAGACAAGTTTGCTAGGTTCTCCTGCGCCAGGTTTTCTCCCCTGCAAAGATTGTGAAGATGTTAGATGGATGAAAAGATATCCTTTAATCTAATCTGACTGGAGGAATCACGTCAATATCATAACGGTCACTATACAAAGGGTTAAACCTGTCCTGCAACAACAAATCTGTAGAATATATACAATACATACACTCCTAGACTCAGAAGAAAGATTAGACAAAACTTATTTTGTAAACAAGAGCAATACATACACTCGGATTTTGTCTATCTAAAACTTTTTATAGATATTGAGATCCGACTAAAATAAAAAGAATGTGTTACTTGACCGTTTCAATAAAAAGAATGTGTTACTTGACCGTTTCAATAAAAAGAATGTGTTACTTGACCGTTTCAATAAAAAGAATGTGTTACTTGACCGTTACAATAAAAAGAATGTGTTACTTGACCGTTTCAATAAAGGTGTTTTAGAAGAGAAAAAAGAAACACAGTTTTCTTCAGAACAATTTTATTTTAATTCCTCTCTTTTTCTAGAGCATTTTACTTACATGACCTCAAACGTGTATCTACGTATCTCTCAATTTTAAACTTATCTCACTGTGATTCTCTCACTGAGTTTTGTTTGTGAAAGCCCGTAACAAATTAATTCTGCCAGAATGCACAGTGTTATTATTCTGGTGATACAAACCCCAAGTGCAATATACTGTTTATACATATTTTAGAAAAATCATTCAAGGTTTGTCTTCGTTGTAGTATTAGTATGTACGGCTACTCGATTAAAGATACAATTACAAGCTCATGTAAAAAACAGTCTTGAAAAAATTATATTATATTATATATATACTTATATATACGTACATATTTTTAAAACAGAAAGCTTAATAAATGATAAAAGAGGATCAGGGTTCGATTGAGTTATTTGAAGAAGGGAAGGTGGTTAAATAAGATGGGGTAAGTTAAGGAAGTGTTTGGGAGGATAGTTGAAGGGCGGGTAGGATTGGAGGGGACAGGTAAGGAAATACGGGGAAGGGTGGTAGGTTAGGAAGTTTGGGGACAGAGAGTGGTTTAAGAGGGATGGGGGAGGGTTGGCAGAGGATATGAAGATTGGGAAAGGAGAGAATAAAAAAAAGTGAAGTTGGATAAGGGTTGGAGGGTTGTCCGAGGTATAGGAAATGATGAGAATTAGCAGGGGAGGGTGAAGGGGTAATAAGGAAAGGTATAAGGAAAGGTTTGGGAAAATAATAAAAATGATATTTGGGTAGGGGCTGGGGAAATATGCTTAGTAGAAGGGTTAAATAAATATTTTTTTGGGGGGAATGGGTGAAGGTTTGGAGAGAATGAGGAATATTTGAAGAGTATAAGGAAAGTTTGGGTAGAATGAGGAAGGTTTTAGGAGAATGATGTAGGTTTGAGGAGAATGAGGAAGGTTTGGGGAAAATGAGGAAGGTTCGGGGAAATGAGGAGGGTTTTATGAGAATTAGGAAGGTTTGAGGAGAATGAGGAAGGTTTGGGAAAATGAGGCAAGTTTGGGGAGAATGAGGAAGGTTTTAGGTGAAAGATGATAAAGATTTGTGGGGGAGAAGCTGGTTGAAAATTGAACATATTTATGCTGGTGGTTTACTGGAGTATAGTGAAGTAGAGGTATTAGCATTGTTTAGGTTTCTCTTTGAACCTTTGTACTCAGAGCTGAGATACTTGTAAACAATCCTAACCTGACCATTCAAATATCTTTATTTTTCTACTGATTAAGAGATTAGGAGATGGAGGAGTGGAGGAGAGGAAATAAGAATGATTTGGGTTAAACCTATTCTTATCTTGAAACTGAAATAGAAACAGCCCATTCATATTAATCCTGTATATTGACAAGAGCATTCAAATATTTATTATTCCAGGAACAAGATTGTGGATTAAAGTATACTCCGAAGGATAAGAATGGATACAGAAGGATAGATAATCAGAGTAGACACTAAGCACACTATCACAATAGAAATTTCGGATGGTTTCAATAAATATCCTCCGGTATCCTCTCGTTGTTCATCTCCAATAAACATTATAAATACAACCTAAGCTTCTCTGTGTAACATGATGAACACAGTAAGCAGATTATAAATGAATACAATTCACACGCCGAGCTCCAAGTATACCTTGTAAACTGTGTAATTCTTCCCATGCATATTCTAATCCAACCTGTACTTATATTTAGTAAACGCAGGAACGGGGGGATGGAAAAGTTATGGGCTAAGAACACCAAGAACGGAATGAAACGGAACAAGAACGGCAGTGGGAGGTGCAAAGGGTAGATTACGGAATTTCAGTTTTGGTATATTCAAGCAATCCATGATTTTAACTTCGTGATGCCTTTTCATTGGATTCTATAAAAACAGAGATTTCGAACTTGCCGGCTAACATGAATCTGGAGAGGTTTCGTGTAGGGAAGTTTTAAATATTTTCATACATTTCCTTTTTCATGGGACTTGTTTTATATATTTCGGCCTTCCACATAAAAATCTATAAAAATAAAGATTAATAGTTAATATATGTTTGCACATTCCGTCTCTCTGGTTGTATCCTGGCACATATGTAAAAATATTGCGTGACAATTTAAATTATATAAAATTCTATCACATTTATCGCTCATTCATGGTCCACAATGAAAATCATTTTCATATTTAGCATTTGTAGTTTTCCGCTGGTTCAGCAATATTCAACATGTGTTCAACATCCGCTGAATTTTCTATTAATTCTTCAGCTACTATTACTCTAGTAACTCTTACTATAGCAACTCTTACTCCAGCTACTCTTACTCTAGCAACTCTTACTCTAGGTACTCTACTCTAGCTACTCTTACTCTAGTAACTATTACCCAAGCTACTCTTACTCTTGCTACTTTCACTCTAGTTACTCTTACTTTAGTTACTCTTCCTCTAGCTACTCTTACTTTAGTTACTCTTACTCTAGCTACTCATACTCTAGCTACTCTTACTCTAGTAACTCTTAATCTAGCTACTCTTACTCTTGTTACTTATACTCTAGCTACTCTTACCCTAACTACTTTTACTCTAGCTACTCTTACTCTAGCAGCTCTTACTCTAACTACTCTTACTCTAGCTACTTTTACTCTAGCTACTCTTACTCTAACTATTCTTACTCTAGCTACTCTTACTCCAGCTATTATTACTCTAGCTAATATTATTGTAGCTACTCTTATTCTAGTTACTCTTACTCTAGAAACCCTTACTCTAGCAACTCTTACTCTAGTTACTCTTACTCTAGTTACTCTTACTCTAGCAACTCTTACTCTAGAAACTCTTACTCTAGCAACTCTTACTCTAGCTACTCTTACTACAGCTACTCCTACTCTAGCTACTCATACTCTAGCTACTCTTACTCTAGCTATTCTTATTATAGCTTCTCTTACTCTAGCTACTATTACTGTAGCGACTCTTATTCTAGTTACTCCTACTCTAAAGACTCTTACTCTAACTACTATTACTCTAGCTACTTTTGCTCTAGCTACTTTACTTTAGCTCTTTTTATTCTAGCTATTCTTACTCTAGTTACTCTCACAATAGTTACTCTTATTCTAGTTACTCTTACTCTAACTACTTTTACTCTAGCTACTCTTACGCTAGCTACTCTTACTCTAGCTACTATTATTCTATATACTCTTACTCTAGTTACTCTTACTGTAGCAACTCTTACTTTAGTTAATCTTATTTTAGTTGCTCTTACTCTAGCTACTCTTATTTTAGCTACTCTTACTCTAGTTACTCTTCTCTAGATACTCTTATTCTAGTTACTCTTTTCTAGATACTCTTATTCTAGTTACCCTTACTCTAGCTACTCTTTTACTAGTTACTATACTCTAGCAATTCTTCCTCTATCTACTTTTACTTTAGCTACTTTTACTGTAGATGCTTATCTTCTATTTACTCTTACTCTAGCTACTCTACAGGTACAGAACTCAAGATATTCTTATTCAAGCTACTCAATCAAATCTATACACAATGAAGCTCAACACGAAGAGAAATTATTTAACTCTAGGTTAACAGTAAACATGATGAAGCGAAGGGTGAAGAAAGCATTATTGAATGACTCCAACCTTACATTCATCAGTCATACATATATATTACCCATTTATCAATTAATTCATTCATTCATCCATACAATGCTCAATTCATTCACGCGTGCATAATTTTCAATCAATCGCTGGATGTTTTTGATTTGAGTAATCAAAAACATCCATCGATTGATTCATCCACTCGTCCTGTATTCATCAATCTATGTATTGATCTCCAGGTAGTTAAAGTTGAAGAATGAACCTGTGTTCGGCTCCTTATCCTCTAGAAGCACAATTCAAGATTCTAACCTGCTCGAGTATAAAGAGACCGAGAGAGCAAACAAGATTTCATCTCCCACTATTATCATATAATGATACCAAATCATTCGTCTCCGTCTCATAGAAAACCTGAACCAAGGTCCTGACAGACTGTGTACAATGACTCTCTGGTTCGACTGATAAATTAAATGAATCATAGTAATGTAATTCAACAACTTGTGGTTTGTAGGAACTCGTGAACGAACGATGTACTTAAAAGGGACTGTAAAGGAAAAATGAAAGGGGGTATAGGCGGTAACCTAAGAATCTCAGAAGTTGATTAAGACCTATAAGAGTTCTATCTGATGTTCCTGTCTCGAGAAATGGATATAAAACTGTATACAAATTATACCAAAACATATATATGTAAGATGTTGTATAAGATTCGTAGTATTAAACAGATCATATTCAACAAATACGCAATCAATCTGAAAATGACGATATCACAGAGGAGCCTGAGAAACTCTGGGTTGCTTCAATCATGCTTTGAATTTAATAATTATTCATTTTTAATAGAAATAATTGATAATATTATTTATACGTCCGGATCATGTCACCAGAACTCAAACCATTGACGGTGCAGTATTATTGTCATGTGTCTCCTTCTGTATCACATGACCAGTATACTACACTGCCATAGGATGGAGTTCTGGTCACGTGATATGGACGTATATCTTACATATATAGGTTTTAGTATAATTTTGACACACTTTTATGTCGATTTCTTGAGATAGGAACGTCAGATAAATGTCTTATAGGTATCGTTCAACTCCTGAGATTCTCAGGTTTCAGTCTATACCACCTTTCATTTTTCCTTTACAGTCCCTTTACGCTAAATATTAATAATTTTGTTCTTTCGATATCTTTCAGTTTTACTCGTCCTCAGGGTCGCTTTAAACCTATCTGCCGAATTATTTTTTTGTGCTGATCTGCGTTTAATTTCATTAGAACAAGAAATATCAACATTATAAGATTGGCATAGAGAATGGGTATTTTAATTCAGAAAGTTTAACTATTTGTCGCTGGTTCAACTGAGTCTGCCATGAGGTATTTCAACAAAACTTGCAAGATTTATTCACCCTCCTTAAAGTATGGTTTACACAACCAGGAATATAACTATGCAAGTTTTTAAATACAACTCTATAAATTTTGGAAGATAACTATGCTAGTTTTGGAAGATAACTATGCAAGGTATGGAAGATAACTATGCTAGTTTTGGAAGATAACTATGCAAGTTTTGCAAGATAACTCTGCAAGGTTTGGAAGATAACTATGTAAGTTTCGGCAGATAACTATGCAAGTTTTAGAAGATAACTATGCACGTTTTGGAAGATAACTATGCAAGTTTTGGAAGATAGCTATGCAAGGTTTGGAAAATAACTACCCAAGTTTTGGAATATGACTATGCAAGTTTTGGAATATAACTATGCTAGTTTTGGAAGATAACTGTCAAGGTTTGGAAGATAGCTATGCAAGGTTTGGAAGATAACTATGCAAGTTTTGGAAGATAACTATGCAATTTTTGGAAGATAACTGTCAAGGTTTGGAAGATAGCTATGCAAGGTTTGGAAGATGACTATGCAAGTTTTGGAAGATAACTATGCTAGTTATGGAAGATAACTGTTAAGGTTTGGAAGATAGCTATGCAAGGTTTGGAAGATAACTATGCAAATTTTGGAAGATAACTATGTAATTTTTGGAAGATAACTGTCAAGGTTTGGAAGATAGCTTTTGGAAGATAACTATGTAATTTTTGGAAGATAACTGTCAAGGTTTGGAAGATAGCTATGCAAGGTTTGGAAGATGACTATGCAAGTTTTGGAAGATAACTATGCAAGTTTTAGAAGATAACTATGCACGTTTTGGAAGATAACTTTGCAAGTTTTGGAAGATGACTATGCAAGTTTTGCAAGATAACTACGCAAGGTTTGGAAGATAACTATGCAAGTTTCGGCAGATAACTTTGCAAGTTTTGGAAGATAGCTATCCAAGGTTTGGAAGATAACTAATTTGACATTTACTCAAGGATTATGATACAGCAGGAGAATAACTACTGTTTACAAACTGCCCTGAAAACTAACTGAGATCTATCAGTGCAGCATCTTTATTATATTCAAAACAAAACAATGCAGATTTTATGTTGTCCTATAAACAAGGAGAGGGGGCAGGGGGTCAACAAACGTACGAGCAATGTTAGAAATATGGTTCATGGGAACTATAAAGAAATTATAGACATAGGACTGAATGCCTTTAAGCATAGTTTGAACTTTCCGATGTTTCTAAAGCATAATCTTCTTTAAAACTTCAGTTCTAATTTTCCGCCTGATAGACAACAGCTATGAGAATAATAGAAAAATTATAAATCCGGTTCAAACCTCCTGCCCAGTCTATCCTTCTTATTCTTGTACCTTCCAGTCTTATCCCAGTACTTCCCATTCTTATCCTTGTACCTCCCATTCTTATCCTAGTACCTCCCATTCTTAATCTTTTTCTAGTCCTTCTAATCCTAGTTCCTCCCATTCTTATCCAGCTTATATCATTCTTACTCTAGTTACCTTCTATTTTTTTCTACTTCTAGTAACTCTTTTACAAGTACATCCCATTCTTATCGTAGCACCTCTCATTCCTATTTTAATACCAACTATTCTTTTCCTATTACCTCCTATTCTTATCCTAGTTCCTTCCATTATTATCCTACTTCTAGGCCTTCTCAATCTAGTTCCTTCCATTCTTATCCTGTTTTATCCTATTTTTATCCTAGTCCTATCCTAGTCCTATCCTAGTCCTATCCTAGTCCTATCCTAGTCTTATTCTATCCTATCCTATCCTAGTTCTATCCTAGTCCTATCCTAGTTCTATCCTAGTCCTATCCTAATCCTATCCTAGTCCTATCTTAGTCCCATCCTAGTCCTATCCTAGTCCTATCCTATCCTATCCTAGTCCTATCCTAGTCCTATCCTAGTCCTATCCTCGTCTTATCCTAGTCCTATCCTAGTCCTATCCTAATCCTATCCTTGTCCTATCCTAGTCCTATCCTAGTCCTATCCTAGTCCTATTCTAGTCCTATCCTATCCTAGTCCTATCTTAGCCCTATCCTAGCCCTATCCCATTCCTATCCTAGTCCTACCCTAGTCCTATCCTAGTCCTATCCTAGTCCTATCCAAATCCTATCCTAGTCCTATCCTATCCTAGTCCTATCCTAGTTTTATCCTAGTCCTATCCTATCCTAGTCCTATCATAGCCTCATTCCTATCCTAGTCCTGTCCATAATCCCAAGTTTCAAATATCCCATGGATCATCAGAAACCACTTTATTCCAAATCCATATTTCTCATGATTTCAAAGTCCTCCAAATTTATTTCTTTTTCAGATTAAGGATAATCCTAATTGCTTGGTAATGAGGTTCAGGTTTGTTAAATCTGTGTAAAAATCTGAACTAAGTCTTATTAGTATAAATACCAACCCCCCCCCCCCCCCAAAGCTAAATAATGTTAAGCATTTATTAAGATGATGTTTAATCTTTTGTTCTTGAGAACATTTTTAACCAGTTAAATCTCTCTCTCTATATATATATATATACTTTGCTTGTCTGCCTGTTTTTCTGTTTGTTTGTTTGTATCCAATAAACGTCAACACGAATGAACGGATCGGGCACACAATTGTTTAGGCAACTTACATGACCCAAAAGAAGGTTTATGGATGCGCAGAATAACAAAAGGTAAATAAAATTGATAGCTTGAATTTTTTTAAGGTCTACGACATTGGGTTGCAATGAAATAGAAATCAGAACATCAGAGTTTGTGACAAGGACTCGGGATATAATGATAAACCCTTGGGCTGCGCCCTCGGGTTTATCATTGAATCCCTCGGGGGTTTAAATTTCCATTGATTCTAATTTGTCTGAGAGTAAATGATACAAATCCTTTGTCTCCAAATTTTTTTGATCTCTAGAAACTTGGTTCCGATGGACTTAATGCAGTTGACCTTAATACTTAAAACATTAAAAGGTTACTGTGGCCTGTGGAGGGCGAGGTACCATGTCGAGGGGGGGGAGGTGGGGGGGGGGGCGCAATGAGAGGGTAAAAGTTCAAAGATTGACAACATGTTTCGGTCTGGGGGGTAATGGTTTACAGACAACATCTATCTCTCT